GTTTACTTCAGCTCACAAAGAGCCAAATGCCTAGTCGAAAATATCACTAGGATCCATTCTCAAACAATCTCTTGCCAGTAAGGACGTGGTACGTGTCCTCTAACCGGCAGTTTTGCCGCCAAATGGCACTGCATGTAAACGGTTATGACTCGGGGCCCTCTGAATCGAGTGGTTTCGTCGCCAAATGGCACCACAGATAGTGGTTATGGCCAGAGCCAATACGCTCCTTAATGGCATTAAGGACGACGGAACCATGAGATCTTGATCGAGTCTATCATCCATTCCCCCCACCATCCGCTTTAAGTCCCAGATGGTGAAAATTCCAGTTTTAAATATCAAATATCTCAATCTAAATTCCAAACATATGAACTTTCAAATTCTCAATTTCCAAATCCAATTTCTACCAATACCTAAATCCATTGCTGCTACTATATGCCAGATAACACGTATTCTACACGTATCTGATTGACGACTAGCCTTAATCGAAAGTTCTCTCTCGTGACCGGGAGGGATAATTAACTATAGGGGCTTGCAAAATTTAATGAGGGCGAAATCTCTGGGTAGTGTCTTATTTACAAATTCATTTGCCTTCCAAAATTTACCTCGGAACCTATCAGTTAAAACTCCCTCGCCGAATAAAGAAAGAAAAGCGGCGGGGAGGCCGGGGCCGAATTTTTGGAGCCCACAAAATTAATTGTATTTTAAATAATTATTAAGTGTATGAGAGGTTTTCTTATGCATATAATATAAAATGAACAAAAAGAGGGTTCCCAAAAAATTAGGGTGATGAAGAAATCTAAAATTAGAAAGTAAAGTTAATAAATTTTGAATTGGTAAAGAGTTAAATTAGAAAATTTAATAATAAATATGGGTAGGTTTTTTATTTTTATGATTTAGGGATTAAGAAAGTTTATGTGGAAGCATGTGACATTAAGTGTTATGTTATGTTTTGTTTCTCTTTAGATATTGGACGTGGTAGAGGGATGATTTCGATAGGGAAATTGGCAAATTGCACATCGTGGTGAGGTAGGTAAAATGTAGTTCTTTTAAATTCAGAAAATTCTTCTCTTTCCAAAAGATAACATGTTCTTATAATCTCATGTGATTAGTCTACCTTTTAAATGCAATTTGTATTTTTCTTATATAGTTTAGTATGTTCTTACATGTCTTGTATCTTACTCTTGTAAATAACATGATATACTTTTTGAATACATAATGCAAATGCGTCTTTCTCATGTAATGATTGTAGAAAGTATCCTTTCATATGTAATCATGTCTCTTTTTATATGTAATGCATATGTAATCATGTCTCCTTTCTTATGTAATCATATCTCCTTTCATACGTAATTATGTAATCATGTAGAAACATAATTGAACATTAGACCATACGCATGAATGACATGTTAAAGTCCTTTTAATGAATAAATTTAGAATGGTTGAATGTGTATGTTTGATGCGGAGTATCAATTGTAAATGGGCTCTCCGGAGCCAAAGGTAAAGGGGCTCCTCGGAGCAAATGGTAAATGAATGACAAATTTAAAGTATACCTGATAAGTACAAAACAAAACGATACTTCCGTAATGGGTGAATAAGATTATATTACTAAATTATTATGTCATTATGTTATAAGTATAAGAAACATCAATTGAATCATGAATGTATAATGAAAAAGGGTTGCAAACTTATTCAAAGAAAGAGAACATGCAGGATGACTTAGAGACATGTGTACTCTAGTTGATATTTCATGACATGTTGATTGTTCCTTCACTTAGAAGTATTGACATACATGTTGTATTCCTTCCATTGCCTCTGAATTTGATTGAATAGATTTTTATCCACTGAGTTGTGACTCACCTAACTTATGGAATATTTTTAGGAGAAAACATTAATGACGAAAAGAAAAATCAACAAACCTTCTTCCCTATTTCCCTCGATCGTTTCTCTCGTTCGTTGAAATTTCTTCCAAATTTATCACTTCTTTAACAGTATAAATGAACAGGAATCATTAATTCTTATCCTTGAAGGCAATCGTTTACTAAAATTAAAAAAACATAACTCACCTCATGCGAGATAAACATAACTCACCTCATGCTCTCGCATGAAGTCTCATGTCCGCCCCTTCCATTTCGCGAACGCTTGCTCTGTTTCGTGATTTCTATGTTCGCGATTTTAATAGGGGGGACCGGCCGGTTCAATCGTACTGGCCAGATGAACCGGTCGTCGCTCTAAAGTTAATCTGCTGATAAAGATGATGGTGTGGATGTTTTATCTGGGCTTAGTATTAATGTTTGTTTTGTATTTCTTTTCATGCGGTTTTCTTTTTATGTTGCATTCATCTGTTTGATTACGAAGTTTGGGAGTAATTCCTAAAATTATTGGTGGGAACATAACTAATTTCAACATATTGGATCTGCATTTTTCATGGAAGCTACTCCTGCTTTTTTATCATGGAAAGTTTGCTCTACCGGGGGGAATGGGTCTAAGTTACAACCTTTCTTGTCAAATTTGGGATTTATTTGACTTTATATTTTTTGAATTAACAGTTAGCTTATATTTGGCATGATTAAATAAATTAGTTGTTGCTATACATAACATGTTAATCTGCATTTTGCCATTCTTCTTACTGCATCAATCTTTTCTTATTTTTAATCACATATAATATTGTCCGTTCCAGGTTCTAAGAGGGGATAACAACAGCCTGGCAAATGATATTCGCAAGGAAATGAAGGTTATTCCAATTTCAGTACATTTATGAGCATTTCTAGAAAAGGGGAAGCCATCTTTGTTTTATTTTTGCGATGCCTAATATTTTCCTGCAGCTTAATATGTTTGTGCTCATTAACAAATTGAAATCTTGTGTGATGCTTTTCCGCATATTTGTAATTTGTCTGAGTATGCGATATTTCTGTGTACGAGATTATTTATTTATGGGATTCTGTGAGCAGGTTTTGAATGAGAAGATGCTGAAGTCTAAAGATAGGAATACCAGAAGGGATATCAGGAAAGAGCTGAGGACACTTTCTAAAGAAGAGAGAAGAAGACAGCAATTAGCAGTCATCGATGTGCTAAAAAATGCAGACGTTATTCTAACAACATTAACTGGTGCTGCTTCTCACCAATTGGAAAAAATTACATTTGATTTAGTTATAATTGACGAAGCTGCTCAGGCACTTGAGGTGGCATGCTGGGTTGCTCTGTTGAAGGTCTGTTTTGCTAGCATCTATCTTGCATTTATTATGTTAGACCTTATAAACTTGTGAAGCTACCACACATCCGCATTTGTTTCTTTAATTTAAAGGAGAATGCAGAGTACCTTAAGGGTTATTTTAATCAATTGGATTTGCCTAGAACACCAAAAGTGATTCTTACGTACCTTGCCTCCAAGGGGATCAACCCCAACATGGTTCTGGAAATTATATATCTTGCTACAATTAGGAGGAGAAAAAACAAAATATAAAGTAGAAGACAAACATAAACTTGTTGAGGCCTTGTTCTTGGTATAAAAGGGGTGTCCAGTGCATGAGACTCTTGCCAACACAGGGTTTGGTGATTTAGGTATGCAATCTTACCCTTGGATTGCAAAGAGGCTTCATGCATGATATAATGACCATGTGTTTTTCCCTTCTTTAAACTAGCTCGTGTTCAATATGTATGCGGCAAGTTTGAAATTAATATTGATATGTAAATAACAATAAATTTCCTAGTTTAGTGGAGTTTTGTATGTTGATGACTTTTGGTCACCATAATCCATGTGTTGAATCCAAAATTTTTCTTCATTCTCTAAATAGTTCAGTTTAATGAATAACCTTTATTTGAAATTAGAATCTCAACTTATACTTGATAAACTTGTTGCTCCTACAAAAGGTTGACTATAAATTCTTCTTTGGCTTTCGAGTATTTTCTTACTATTTTTACTCCAGCCCAATCATGCTTTCGGTTCATTTCATACATAGATAGTAGAGATGGATCATAAAATTTACATGAGGAATTGAAAGTATCATCATTTTCTTGGTGCTAACTGGTTTTTTGTTCTTTTTTTTTTTCTAATGAATGCACTCAAGCTGTGATCCAATTGAGCATGTTATGCTATTTACAGGGGTCAAGGTGTATGCTTGCTGGAGACCATCTCCAGCTTCCCCCTACAATCCAAAGTGCTGAAGCTGAGAAGATGGGCTTAGGAAGGACCCTATTTGAACGGTTGGCAAACTTGTATGGTGAGGAGGTTATGTCTATGCTTGCAGTTCAATACAGAATGCACGAACTTATAATGAACTGGTCATCTGGCGAATTCTATGGTGGTAAGGTGATGAACAATCCAATAATTTGATGGAAATACTAGATAGTATTTGTTTTTTGAAGTTTGTGTTTGCATCTGTTGTTTCAATGTTGCTTTAGAATTCTTGTTCATTCCCAGCAGATACAAGCCCATTCATCTGTTGCTGAGCATAAGCTTTGGGATCTTGAAAATGTGAAGAGGTCATCTTCAACAGAACCAACTCTTATACTTGTTGATACCGCAGGGTTAGTTTTTCCACTTTTTTTTTTTGGTTCATTGCAGATTTTCCTCATTCTTCAGACAGTGCAGGGCAAATTCTTTTTTTTTTTTGTTTTTGTTTTAATGTGTGAATATTCAAGCCATTAACATGGAATCCAATATATGCTACTTGTAAAAACATATTTTCTGCATTGGCAATAGTTAATTCATCATCGTATATCGCTAAATTGGTCAGCCTATGTAATTTCTTGTTTTTTTTATCACACCTAGCAGAATTTCATTTGAGAGTTCAAGCATCATTTTATGCCACAAATTTGTCAGTCATCATCAACAACTAAAGATTTTATAAATATTTTTGTTCGTTCACTTATGTTAAGAGTTTTTGGTATTAATTTTTGCTATTTTCATTATTACATCTTTACCCTTGGTATGTTTAGGTACTATTTTTTCTTTAACCTTTTTAGCTCAAATCTAGTTTGCTTCATCATTAGATATCCCTTTTTCACCTCTATTTTATGTTATGCATGTCCAAGGATCTCATTCTACTGTTACTTCATGCAACTCAAAAGCCTGATTTGTTTTGGTTTTTTTACAGGATTTTAGTTTAAGAGATTGTCTCTTCTAGTATTGCGTATATTTCTCATTGATCATGAAGTTTACTCATGTAAAAATTGATGCATCTTACAATCATGAGCTGTATATTAGCATCACACGGCCTAAGCCATATGGCTACCACAAGCTGATTCATCTTTGCAAATACATTATGGAAGAACATAGTAATAAATACCGTACAAATGAATGAGGTTCAGAAAAGCTGAGCTTGTTGCATAATGTAGAAAACTAACGAATTATGGAAGCGCTGATAGCATTCTAAGGCAACTTATCTGAGTGCTATTAACATCCTAAGCCTGAAGCATCGAAATTATTAAGACAGGAACAAGGCAATTGGTTCGATCAAACACAACAAAAATGGAAAAATAGTAACACTATATCACCCAAATCTAGTTTAAAATATCTTGACTTCAATCAAAATCATCTTAATGTCATTTATTTCACAAAAACAACTTACGCCACTTTTGAAATGTCAAAAATGTCTAGGAAGGATACTCATATTGTCCAATCTATGACACAAAAGCAAAATGTAAAATTCAGGCAATGACAATGAATCGAGATGTGCAAATGATGAAAACTAGTGATGCTAAAATTAGAATCAACATGCATGAATGCCAAAAAAAAAAAAAAAACCAAAAAAATTTAAAAAAAAAAAAAAAAGCCAAAAAATATTTTACGAGGTGAGGACTCAGTTTGACATTCTAGACATTCATGAATGACAAAATTATGAACAAGATTTCATACATGCTTCAATTATATATATATATATATATATATATATCCTTCACTGTTAAAAAAATATTTCATTTGCATCAATTATTGCTAATTGTTGACCATTGACCAGCCGATCGGCCTCACTTCACGAAACAATGTGATCGCACACGACAACCATCTCTCACGTAGTCATTTAACTTCTCCACATTTCTTTGACAAAACCGAATAGGAGTGGTCCGCTCTCATTCCACTCTTACACACTTAACTGTCTCTTCCTCCCATCTCTCTATGCTGCACGTAGACACAGGAAATTGAAGCCCCTAGCCCGCTCGCGACCGCTCATCCCTCTTGTTCGACCAACCCTGCAGTCGAAGACTCAGCTGCTTGACCCTCTCTCCCATCCTCTTGACCCCGCACGTAGGAACGAGCATCGCTTGCCCTCTCTTTCCCGTTCGTGTGAATCTGTACGAATGTCCCATGACTGTGTCCAACTCCAAACCCGACGCCGACGTTCCGTTCCCAATCCTTAAATGCAAGCATCTCGATACCTATTTCTTCACTTCTCTATATCGAATACCCAACGCAGGGACTGAGCTACTCTCCCATTCTATCCTTACTTGATTGAAGCCCAGGCAGAAGCTCCTTCCTCTTTATCTGTTCAACCTGACTACAGTGTCCGATTCCAGGTCCAGCCGTCGCTGCCTCCAATCCCAGCCTTTTTCGACTTACTCGCCCGTCACCATCATCATCAATATATCGACATTAAGATGTATAAATTGTTATCTTTTTAACTTGCTTAAACAACATGTACTGTTAATTTGAACACATGTGTCATTGTATCTTTGATATGGGCAGAAATGTTCAATTTGAAGCTCCCATGCCATTGTATCTTTGTCCGGACGGGAAGAATTCAATTTGAACTCCTTGCATCGTCGTATCTTTGATCCAAGTGAGATGAACAACAAGTGCTGTTCCAACCTCCCTTTGCGGGGAGGGGATGCCAGGAGGTTGCCGGATTTTTTTTGAATAATGTGGACCCCAACTTAATTAATTAAAAAATAATGATGTTAATAAGAATGGCTAAATTGTATATAAGAATGAAAATATTTATTGTTCCAAATGATTGCTCACTAGTCATGATTTGAAAAAAAAGAAGATCGGATGATTTGTATGAAGCATGGCTGCCCGATCTTCTTAAGCCGGAAGAGTTGTCGGACAGTTCGATCCAGGACAAAGTTGATGGGAACTCTTATAAAAAAAGGGGACATCCGGAAGAAACTGAGTTTATATTTTATGGATTAGTAGAAGAGCATAAACCTTCTCTAGTAATATATACAACTCTATTAACTGCTTTAATTGATCAGAAGAAGTTTGATTCCATCAAATCATTAGTCTCTGATGTGCAAAAGAATGAAAATTTTGAGGAGGCCGTAAAAATCTTTCAGCAAATTAAAAGAAGTGGATCTAGATTGATACAAGTATCTTCAACACCCTCTTAAAAAGGATATGGTATTGCACATCGGTCTGAAGAATCACAAAAGCTCTTGGAGATGATGTTTTCTGAAACAAAAGGTACCCGTTTTATGAAACGGAAGCTACCCAAATAGGAAATCGTGTAATATACTCACCAAAGTTTGGTGTGACCATAAGAACCTTAGTGAAGCTTGGAATGTTGTGTAGAAGAAGGGTCTTGAAGTTCCCCCTAATGTCATTGTCTTCAACATTTTAATCAAATCTCTCTTGGATGTAGAAAACATGGAAGGTGTTCATGAAGTTCCAAGATTGATGGAAGCAGTTGGAGTGAAACCAAATGTTGTAATATACAAGTCATCAAATGCATGCTTGATGTCCAAGGGGTATCATGGCTAATTGCATGGATATTTTTCATGAAATGTTGCAAGTTGAAATTGTTCCTAATGCTCAGGTTTATAACATTCTAAAGGATATGTTAGAGCAAGGAAACCTGATAAAGCAAAAATAAAAGAATTTGGAATTCAGCCTAATGTTATAACTTGATGCAACCAAAAATTAGAAAAAACTCTAATTTTTTTTGCAAGCAAATGAAAAGTCTTCCTAAAAACTACATACAAATTAGGGCACCCTTCCAAAATATCATATTTAGACAAAATACAGCAATTAAATGAAAGACAAATTCACTTTTATAATAGAAAGACGACCATACAAAAAAGGATGCTTACAAACTTATCATAAAACAATTAAACTTGCGTTCCATTGCTTGAGAAGAAAGATACCAATGACGTTGAACTTGTGGAGAGAAGAAAGAGGTAAGAAGCCGAAACGAAGGAGAGGACAAACTCGCAAGCTTTCCTAGTGGAAGAGAGAAATGAAACAAGCTTGCAAGCTTTTCTACGAAGAAACCCACAGGTTTAGCTCCAAAAATTCTTCATAATCACTCTCTTTCTAAATACCAAGACATCTAATATATAATATATATAGGAGAAAAGGGGCAGCCAAATAGCCCAAAACATCTTCAATTAATCCATCAGGTAAGGGGAAATGGAAGGCCAACTAGCTGTCAAGAAATAGAACCCGAACAACCACACAACAAACCAGAAAAGGCAACCAAAGGGGAAAGGAACGGCTGGCCAGGGGAACCGGAACAAGCAACCAAAGGGGGAAAGGGACGAATAGTCCATGGAACCGGAATAGGCACCACAGGGAACCGGAACCAACAACCCAGAGAACCGGAACAGACAACCAAAAGGGGAGGAACCAACCACGGGAAGGGGAAGCCAGGGAGGAAACTAAAGGGCCAAGGGAAGGGGAAAGGGCAGCAATGAAAGGGGAGCCAAATGGGAAACCAAAGGGCCATTAGAGAGGGGGGAATGAACCTAATTAATTGTAAATTATGAGCTAAAAAAGTAGTAACTTTAGCATTAATTAGCTGAATTTAGTAGTGGATCTAGAAGCTCACCAAAAATACAACTCAAAATATTTTGACCCCCCCTTTTTTCTACATCAGATTCTCCTCTGGTTGAAAGGACTCATCTCTCGATGAGTTTGTTTTTGGATTTATCCTGATGAGACGAAGGAGGCACTTCAAGCTCTTGAATATTGTCCGCATACTTCTTGAGAATCATCTCTTGTTCTTGCTTGAATTGTTATTGTAAAAGTTTCTTTTTCCTTATGAAAATTTTCGTACACATATGCATCTTCAACTGAAGTTTTTATAGTTCATTCTGTAGGGGATCTGTTGAACTTCCTTCCGTCGGAATCCATCTGTCCATTAGAAGAGAGACTTCAAGATCTTATGGATTGCTTTTTTTCACAATTGACTCAATATTTTTGTCTTTTTCCATTTTTTTGAATAAAAAAAACCCCCACAAAACTTAAACTCACTCGATACCAAGACTCACTAGACAACTATTATGACTCACCTAGACTTATTCGACAAACCTGCTCGCAAAATGAGGACGAAATCTCTGGGTAGTGTCTTATTTAAAACCCAATCTGCCTTCTAAAAATTTACCTAGGAGCCTAAATCCGTTAAAACTCTTCCCGTAAACAAAAAAAAGGCGCAGAGAGGCCGGTGCGTGAATTTTTGGAGCCCACATAAATCAACTTCTAAAGTTAAATATCACCAAGATGATATTGCATTAATCTGATATCGTTTAAAGTCATTTTTGATTGCATCAGACGTCTTCTATATAATAGTAAATGCTTCTAATTTACGAAATCTTGTTTACAAGTCATCATCAACATCTCTAAAATGATTGAAGGGTAAACATTCTCATTTCAAATTTAATTACCTTGCTTAACTCTTCTTCTTTCTTTGTCTCCCTCGGGCAAACAAATTTCTTTCCCCCAACTTTCTCCTTAATATATTGTATGGAATTACTTACCTATTTTTAGCAATAAAGAAAAAGAAAACTTCTCTTACAAGGATCATGTTATTCTTTTTTACCTAATAACTTTTATTTCTCCAAATTTCTTTTCTTTTGTTGCCTCTTCTCAATGAGAGCCTCTTTTCATTCGCATTTTTCTACTGGAGTGAGTGAATTGTAGTTATCTCCCACGAGGAGTCCCCGCTTTTTGCACTCAAACATGTTTCCACGCTCATTCACATGATTCGAACCCACCTGCTATGCCCGCACTCGCTCACAACCCGCTCGTTTGCTCCCTGCTTCTCGCCCGCTCGCTATCTGCTTGCCTGCTCTTTGATTAGGGGCGGTTAAATTGAACTGATCCAACTGGTTATTACATGCACACTTTTGACCTCACTTTAAATTTTGTTGCGCCTTCAGCATTGCATTTGTAGAGTGTACTATTTACTCATATCAAATCTATGTCATCTCTGTCATGCTCTTAACTTTGTGGACTGCCTAGTTACTGCTCCAACTCTACCTTCAAATTTAATGGTTATTATTGCAAGTTTAAATGTAATATCAATTGCCAGCCACTTGATGGTGTGTGCTTAAATCTCTATTTTGCAATTTATTTATTTATTTTACTCCTTCCAATTGTGCCAAGCTACCCCGTGTACACTAAAACCTGATTGCCTCATTTCAATGAACTTGCAATGTTGGGTCCTAGATTGACAGCTCCTTTTGACTTGTAAATGTATACATTAGCCTAGTGTTCGCTCATCTTATTAGATAAAGCATCTGATTTGCACTTCAGAGACATCTGTTTAAAGATTCAATACCAGCAACTTACATGTCCTATTCTGCATTTTGTTTCTCGCCTGTTTCACAGGTTTGAAATGGAAGAGAAAAAAGATGAGGAAGATAGCACAATGAATGAGGGCGAAGCTACAATTGCAATAGGTCATGCTCTGAGACTTGTTGAGAGTGGTGTTCAGGCATGCGATATAGGGATCATCACTCCCTATTCTGCACAGGTTTCCTTGATTTCCCCTTTTCCACTCGTGCATTCGCCCCTCATCCATTTATCATCTTTCATGCCCATATATTTATAGTATGTTTTTCCAATCACATATTTATCTGCTTAAATTTTTGCTACTTCATATCTGCATTTAGATTTCCATGTATATCGATATGTTCATCCATTCTCAATATGCCTATGTTTTCATAAATCTATCCATCCTCTGACCAGCTCTCCAAACCATTTTCTGTATATCCAGCGACTTGAAATGATTTGGCAAATTTATTTAGGATAAATTGGAATCGTCTTTTGATCCATCTAGAATTTCCATTTAGACCGCTCTCCAATTGTAGTGTTCGGATACCTTACCCATATAGAAAACTTTGATCTTCTTTTTTAGGCTTCGTTTGGGACAGCTTTTTTGTTGCTTTCTTAAACAACTTTTTAGTAAAAAATTTCTTGAATTAGAAAATTTTATACTAGAAAGCCGTTTTAGGAAGCAGTGCGAAAGCTGTCACAAACAAAGCCATAGTTTTCTCCTTTAAAGCCCTTGCTTCCTTTTTATTATCTTTTTATCTCCAGAAAACATGTTAGATGTTGATGTAAAAGGGGGCACAAAATAACGTACCTTATCAGGTTTTGATGATTGTTCTCTTGTAAATTATAAAGATGTAATTTCTGTGATTATAACCTTTTGAGTATTTTATTTTACCTGCATAACTTATGTCTGTGTTAAAATCGCCTCCCTTATTTTCCCACTTTTCATCTTCACCTATCCTTTATGTTTCGGTTTTCATGCATGTTATCTTATTTTTATTTATGTAGATGGAGTAAATTGTCCCATTTATTGGCATAGGTTACCTATCTTAAGGTATTGCGTGGTACGGAAGCTAAATTGAAGGATGTTGAAATTTCTACAGTTGATGGGTTCCAAGGCAGGGAAAAAGAAGCCATCATCATTTCCATGGTTCGTTCAAACGTTAAAAAAGAGGTAAAGCAATGCTTGTTTTTCTGTTATAGGTATGCCATTAAGGCTTCATTTGCGACGACTTTCATACTGCATCTTAAAGCAACTTTTTAATACCAAAAATAAAAATTTTCTACTAAAAAGCTGCTTTTAGAAGCAGTAAGAAAGTCGCCCCAAATGAACCCTAATTCTTTTAACCAACTCTTATATGGAGCACTAACTAAACCATGAAATATCTGACAGGTGGGCTTTCTAACTGATCATCGTCGCATGAATGTAGCCATCACACGTTCTAGAAGACAATGTTGTCTTGTGTGTGATACTGAAACTGTATCTGAGGATAGCTTCTTGAAACACTTAGTTGAGTATTTTCAGGAGCATGGAGAGTATTTGAGTGCATCAGAATACGGACATTAAGTATGAAGGTTTGCTTAAAGCTTTGCATTAGTTGTTATTAGGGCTTTATGCCTATCCTATTCAAATCTCTTATATTTATATACATAACACCCAATCCTTAATATTTACCCACTTATTACTGAAATCTTTTAACAACATTTTGGCTACGACCAGCAGCCACTCCAAATAGCTCGTCTCAATAACATCTATGTGGTTTTTAAATCCATTGGTAAAATCCTTAGCTGTTAAAAAACCATATCAGAAATGGGAAAATATTCAATGTATTCTGACTGCAGCCTCTGCGATGGAAGTAAGTGGAGACAGGAGGTAGAGGAGGTCGTATGAGCACATGAGGTTATAATCTGTGATGAGGAAGGTATGGATTGCATTAATTTTGATTTGAACGGTGGAAATTGGTCCGTTGCTTGTGAGGCACAGTGTTGCCTGAGGAGAGATTGATGGTGCCTAAAGAGGGAGAGCCTTTGGTCTGAGATACTTTTTTTGGTTAAGTTAAAAGAAGATTAAAAATGGCAAGATAGTCGATCTATTTTCGAGGAAGGAACTGGTCAGCTAAGAGAATAAATGATCCGTTGTTCCTAAGGATGAGTTCTATGAGAAGAGGATTAGAAGAGAAGAAAAGATGTACGAGCACTAAAGATCTTATGCGGTTTGATTTTGTATCCTGTGTAGTAAGTGAGGAGATATTCCATTATAAAAATTTGAAATAATTCATTGTTCAAGGAAGGTCCTCATTTGCTTGACGGCTGAGGGATGAAGGAGAGAAGAAGTGAAGTAAAAAGGTGGCAAAAGATGAATTTTGGTTACTATAGGGAGTCATTGTAACCGCATGACAGTGAAATTTAGACGCTTTCATCTATTTGAAGTGGATGATTCTCCACTGTAGATAAGTGTCGTCTTTTCCTTAGACTTGAGGGGGATATGCTATTATAGGTTTGTTAATGGTTGGCAATGTGTCAGGAGATTGATGGAGACAATTTAGATTAGTCAGGATAAGGCAGTTGAGAGGAATTTATCGGCAAGGCCTGTTGGTTGGGGAGTCGATAGGATGTGATATCATAATTTCGATGATCGATGGCAATTTGTAAGGAGCTTGATGGAGAGAGACTATTTAGATCGGTTAACACTAGGCAATCGAGAGAATGTTGTTGTCAAGCCATTTCAGATGTGAAACGATGGGCATTGAGATGGTTGGATGTACATTAATTGTTGTCCAGTTGGGAGTTATTTGACATGATGTCATCAGCTCAAGAGCCAACGAGCACTAGTGGAGGTATTGGGTGGAATTGGGTGGAAGGCGAGATGCTTGTTGTTAGGTTTTCATTGATGGAGGTAGGGGTTAGATAAGTGTTCGATGTCAACGATATGGGAGGACTTATTTGCGATGGAACTAATGGATGCTACTTAGGGTGGGTTTCCTTGGAGATAAAACGCTGGAATGTTGGGGATGCTTGTAGGAAACTATAAACCTTGACTAAATTAGGTTGGCAAGCAATCAAAGAAGTTTTTGCCTTAAGATATTGGTCGGGATGTCAAGGGGGCGATTGGAAGCTTACCAATGAGTGTTATGGTTGAAGCTGTCAATTGGGAGGGCTATCAAGCAAAGAGAATGCATTGGATGATGAAGAGGAAGCTATTAGCGGACCCTTAGGTTTTGTTGTTGATGGATGCCAAGATGGACAAATGATCATCATATGCGATTCGTGCTACTTGGGTGCCTAGTAGAAGGCGAGGTGCTGGCCACCCAAAATTTTGGCAGTATGCCATGTTTATTATTCAAATTGGGTGCATAAAATCATGCATTACACTTAGCGGGGTCGTGAGGATGTAAGGGGATTGGGAGGGAAACATTGAATTTTAGATGGTGGTGGTCATTGTAAGGATCTTGCTGCTATTGATGTCATAGATGCGGTTGGGAGTTGTCGCGGATTAACCTATGAAAATGAAGAGGGAGACCATAAACTGCCTTCACCAGCTTTTGAATGTGAAATGTGGCTGATGTTGGGTGCAACGTACTAGCTTTGTGGAGAATGCCATTGCTTTTATGGCGAAGGAAGTTTGTTTGAGCAACTTGGAATTAAAAAGCCGGAAATTGGCAACTTTTAACATTTGGATGTGGCTGTAATGCTATGAATGACCTAGTATCAAATACTAGTAATAATATTAGCAAAAAAACATTCTCCCGTGCTTCCAGACATACTGAGCTTTACAAATTCTTGTATGTTAAAAAAAAAAGGCGGGCCGATTCCATGAAAGATGGAATCAGTAAATCTAAAACTATTGATACTGAATCTTTGTGAGATCGTCAATTTTATACGTATGGAGTTGTTGACAGAGGAGATGAAAGTTAAACGTTAATGAGAGTGGCCTCTGGTGGTAATTGTTTTATTGAAACATTTGAGTGGTAAATGTGCAAATAGTGAGGATTTGGTGCTTGATATATAAATATGAAATATTTGAATGATATGCATGCAAATCCATTTTTATTAATATTTTAGCTACCTCGCTGTTTGAAAGTTGTAGAAGTTGTGCTGCTCAGACTCATTATAGTTTCTTTAATGAAGGTATCATCTCAGGTTGATTGGCAACTTTGATGCTATCATTATTATTGGCTGCCGTTTGGTTAAACCCGCCGAAGCACTAATGAATCTTTGTTTCCAGCGAGGAAATAGAAGGCAAAGTTGTAGAAATCAGAAGCATCGTGGAATGAAGATAAGCTACTTCGAGTCATATTTGATGATGATTAATGCTGCCCTTTCAAACTCAGACCAAACAACTTTCTTTTGAGTCTTGGTATGGTTTTACATGCTATGTATCTCTATCATCGCATCCCTCTAATGGCTCTAAATTTTGCCTCATTTATTAATTGAAATGCAAAGCTTATTTCTTTTATGATATACTAAGTTTAATCATTTGAGTCAATCGCAGGCACATATTTTTGACAACGATTGCAAAAGTTTATTTTCAATTCCTTATTTTTGAGACTAGATGACTTGAAAACCTCATTGAAAACCGTTTGTGACCTCGAAGATGACCGTAACAAATTGGGATTGGTTCTCCTTGAAATTTTTGTCAAAAATGGTTTCTATGGCCACCAAAATGTCAGTCACAATTTGTGACTGCAACAGACTGTAACTTCCTAAATCAAATTTCGAATGAGCTGAACTTAACACAACATAGTAGTTTTGTACACACAGTTCATCCATTATTCACAACCTCAAAGAAACATAACATACACAGAACATGATTGCTTGATCTTCTCAATCTTCTCTCATTTGATCTATTGTACTCGACAATATGATAGGAAACACTTGTAGATCGCAAGTATTTCCTATCAATCTTTTAAAAACAGCGAGAATTCTTCACAAAAATCTGCACAAAATCATAAAAATAGTAGGTAATTTGTATTACTTGATGAAAGTAAAACGAAAAATAACAAGATACACTTGATCCTCTATTCTAGAGGAGGATCGATCTCTCCCAAATTTCTAGGCACCGCTAGAGCCCAAAGGAAACCTAAATCTAAGAGATCTCAAATTTCAGCCAAATTCAAGATGCCATAATCCTAGGAAAACAAAGTCTTTAATGCATACAAATCAAAAGGAAATTCCTAAACAGTCCATACATTCAAATTTCCCTCACAAATACCTCAAAAATCCTTCCTAAAAAGCTCCGTCAGCTCCTGCGGTGTGTGCGGCAAAAACCAGAGGCGGAGGCGTTCTGCCTTGTTCAAGTCTGGGCCGGTCTTGCGTGGACCGGCTGAACCGGTCCAATGGATTGGTCTAACACAATCACTCCCTCTTGATCTATGTGAATTGATGATTATCATATGCAATGATCGGAATTTATTTGAACCCCCAGAGATGTGACCTCTATCATACAGTGATGTTATCATCATATCAACAGTTATGGAAGATTACTTAATCAGGGCTCACAGACAAATTGTCTGTGGGGTCTTCTCTTGATTTCTCTTAGAATCTCAGCACTTAATTTTAGGAGTTCTTGGCTACCACTCCAGAGTTCATTTAGACTTCGTTGGGGACGTCTTTCTTACTGCAAAAATTATAATTTTTTACTAAAAAATTGCTATAATATAAATAATGTTCAAATATAATTTGAGCTTGACCATCAGAGATGAAGATAGTGCTTGTGCTTGTTGAGCAACTTTTTTGTTCGAATTTTCGCTTTATTTTGAAGGGTTATGGTAGTAGTATTTTTCACAAGAAATCTTTTCGCCATGAATTTTAGATCTTTTTAGAAATCAAAATAAAAACCGCAAAATGAAGGCTTTATTTCAGAAACATTTTTTTTTATTACTTCTATGTAAAAAAATAACTTTAAAATGTATACCATTGAATGACAAATTTGTTTATTATTATTATTGTTATATTTAAATTTAATCTAAAAATTAATTTTGAAATTACAAAATAAAAATCTTGAATGGAAAGTTAATTTTAAGAAAAAGTTGAAAAATATAAAACACTTCAAAGTTCAAACTATGATTATAAGCTTGAGAGTATTTTTTCAACTTTAATGTTAGTAAGAAAATTAACTAAAAAATGTCATGATTAATCTTATTTATAAATAAAGATTTTAAAGTTATTGAATTAATTTTAAATAAATTTAAAATAAAAATAATCAAATACAATTTCTATTACTTTTAAATGTATCAATACTATTGTTTATTAGAATAATCTAAAATAAATAAAATTTAATAAAATAGTCATTAAAAGAATATTAATTTGGTTTATACGTTTTCAATTATTTTTAAAAACATTGCTTAAAAATTATTTTTAACTAAATAGCATTAAAACTATGTTTAAAATTAATTTATAATACAAAAATAGAAATTATACCCCCGACCGGATTAAATATAATCACTTAAATAGGTTAAACAATTTTTTTTTAAATATTTCTAAAAAAAGTAATTAAACGCCACAGCCATAGTAGCTCCAAATTTCCCAATGACAGTGGTAGTGAAAAGTCTGGGAGAGAAGTATTTAACTCTTTAAAATGTTCGGAGCCATCCATTTTATTTTCACGGTTCCCTCCCATTTTTTGAAGTGGCGCCCTTACCATGTGAGTTGGACAGACACATCCAAGTTCTATTGAGCTCTGCCTATTCGTTCTCCTTCGTCATCATGTAAAAAATTAGGGTTTCTTCTTTTGCTCGAATTTGCGGAAGGGAAAGGGCCACTGTTGGTAACAGTTTTTTGGCTGAGTCGGGTGATTGCTGTTCCATTGTGGTCGCGATCATGTTTTTGTAATTTGCCACTGCGGTATCTCTTGTTTTCCCTGATGGTCACCTTTGCAAAAACCTTATGATTTGCTCCTAGTCTCGGGCCTGCTGTAGTCTTCTTGTGGTGAAGGCGAGGCGTCGCTTTGATTTCTCCTCCGCCTTCGCCTCTCTCGACGTCGCTGCTGAAATCTTGGTGGTGTCCGTCAGTTTTAGGTATTACCTTAACGTCTCTATCTCTGCGCGCGCGTTATTGGTCTTAAAACGAAAGCATTGATGGGCTGCTTGGGTATGAGTAGGATTTAGTAGATCCTAGGGTGCTAAGCCCGTAGAGTTGTTTGGTATGGTAGCTATTAAATCTTCTGAAACTCTACTAAATTATATGGTCGTTACGTGCAAGATAATTTGCATCGGTTGACTTGATGTTTGTCTTAGCTTTGGATTCAACAAGTATAAATAAAAAGTTATAGGAGGCTAAACAAATTTTTTACTTGAAAAATCCAATAAAAAATCACGAGAGGTAACCATACTAGAAATTCACTATATAGCAAGAGATATAATAATCTTTCCTTCCTCTTACTTGAAGATGATATGACTATTTGAGAATCAATATATGACTTTCTTTGTAGGATTACAAAAATAAATTATTTAGAAATGGACAGTAAATACCTATAAATAAGGTTAGATCTTGGTAGAAGTTTATAGACGGTGGTGCCAATTGTTGGAGTGGTCGCCGACGAGAGTTCATGATTGTCGTTAGCAGTGGTTGTTGGTGGCGGTCATAGCTAGAAAATGCAAGGGAACTTTCTTTTTTTCTCAATACTAAGACATCTATCTAGAAAATGAGGCTCTATTTATAAGCTTTTTGAGAGGAATATTATTGCAAATTTGGATGAAAATCTAAAGCGCTTCATCGTACAATTCATATTGATTCCTTGGATCACTAAACATTTACTCAATAATAAAGTGCCTTAATGATGATGAAATTAAGCGATATTCGGCTTGTTGGATTCGTCTTGTTGAGTCGTTCGATTTGATTATAAACATGTTAAATTTAGAGACTATTTGGTCATTCAATTAATATTTAAGGTTTTTAATTATACTTTAAGTGCTTAATTTGATCTTATTTAGAGTCAAATTGGACTACTTTTGATATTGTTGGGTACATCTTGTCGAGGTGTTTAGTTTAGTTATAAGTTTGCAGAAATTGAATTTCAAATGATCTTGAATTTAATTTTGGAAGTTTTTAATTTAAAATTTGCCTCGAGATTCATATTGATCATATAAAATTTTCATAGACATATTATTTCCCCTTTATATTTGAACATTAAAGTTTTTTACATTTGAAAAAGTATTTTAAATTCTAAAAAATCATGATTTATTTTTAACTTTTAAAATTTAGATTTTTTAGTCTTTTTTTTCTTTTAACTTTTTTTTTGTTTAAATTTTTACTTCTTTAAATTCAACTCATTTAATTTTCATGTCTTTAAGTTATATAATTCACTCTTTAATTTTTATCACTCATTATTTTTTAACTTTTAATACTCACTCTCTTTATTTTTTATTAGTCTTTTTTAAAATTATTTATTCTCTTTAATTTTTATGACTTCTCTCTCCCTTAGATATAAATACCCCTTAGAGTGGGGATGTCAAGGTTTTAAAATGCGAAATCAGGCATTGAGGCGTAAGCCTCAAAACGATTAAAATAAATTAATTTAAAATTATAAATAATGACAAAAAATAACAAAATATTATGTCAACTATGAATTTGAAGATTTGTTTCAAGATAATATTACTGGAATATAAGATTTAAAATAAACTCACTTAAAAATAAAACATCCCCTTAGGATCAAGACCCATAGCAGGCTCATCATCACTTTGATTGTCTTTAGAAGAATTTTCATAATTAATGTCAAAGTCATATTCAAACTCTTTTTTTTATAATATTTTTTCCTTTATCTCCTATATCAGTTAATATTTTATTAGCTCTAAAATGAAACATTAGTAATATACAAAATAATTCATTATATTTAAGAATACATTTGAATTTTTTTGATGCTCCAATCTCACTTTGTTTCTTTCTTTTATATACTTGGGTAGTTACTTCATTGTCTTCTTCATTGACATGAGTTTCTCCTTCTGCTTCAACTTCAGAAACATCAATATTCTTAGGAGTAACCTATTCATCATCAGATTGTAACTTATCAACAAACAAAGGGTCAATTTCATTCTCAATATTTCTTTGATTCTGCAATTTGAGATGTCTATCTTTCAGTTTTTTGTTAAACATAATATAAACTAGTTTGTTCATTCGATCTGTTGCCAATTGAAGATGCTTCAATTACGCTCGCATGCAGAAGTCGAACACGTTAGACTTAGAACTTTAACTATAAAAGATTTCAATTTAGGAACATCATCTCCAAACTGAGCCCACCAATGTTCTACATGAAGACAAACATAGTATTTTATGAATATAGGTTGAAGTAAAAGATTTGAACATAAATATTAACATTAAAATTACACAAACTATAAACATACCAGGAGATCATGTTTTATAGCATGCTTGTGATGCTCTAAATCTAAACATTCAATTCTTCAAATGAAAATCCTCAAGTTGATCATTCACTTTGAGGTGATCTTCTTCAGAAATGAGTCTGTCCATACATGTATACAAATCAGTTTTCACCTTTTTGTGTATATGAAAATTCTTATCACAATGAAATTGGAGGTTTAAATAGTACGCAACAGCATGTAAGTGTTGGTGTAATTATCGATCCCACTTTCATTTATAATATCTCATATTTCTTTGTAGGCACTTTCTTGACATCCCAATTCTTTTGCAATGTCTTCTTTAGCTCTATTTATTGCTTCATAAATAAATCTCATAGCCGGGGTTCTCTCACCATCAACTATTCTAAGCACCTTTATTAATGATATGTTATCTTCAAAGCATAATTTGTACTGCGTCAAAATGAATAATCTGTCATAACAACCATTTTAATTTATTTTTCTTCTTGTTTTTTGGCCCATGAACTTTTATCCCACTATTCAGAAGTAAATATTGCTTTCAAAGATTGTCTTAACTCCTTGAATCTTTGCAATGTTAAATATGTAGTAGCAAATCTTGTAACATTAGGTCTAATAATTTTCTTATCAGTGAATTTTTTCATCAAACTAAGTACCCATTAATGATTGTATATAAACTTAATAATGAATTTGACTCTCAATATGGCTGATTTATGTTGAGGCAACTGTCTCAACCTCTCAAACATCAAGTCAATACAATGTGCAGCACAAAGAGTGCAGTAAAGGTGATGCCTCTTCTCTATTAACATTCTCTTTGCAGTTTAATATGCACTTGCATTATCAATAACAACCTATACTTCTAAGGCTTTTCCCACTTCCTCCACAATTTCATCCAACATTTCAAACAATAATTGTGTATCCTTTACAAAGCTGAAGCATCTACTGATTTGAGAAAAACTGTTTCATATGGATTGTTGACCAAGAAATTAATAATATTTCTATGTCGAATATCTCACCAACCATCTTACATTATTGTCACTCCTATCTCAATCCATGTCTTCCTAACATTATCCACCATTTTTAAAGTTGTCTTAACCTCCTCATTCAGCATTCAAGTCCTCATCTCATACATGCTTGGAAGTTGTAGTCCTCTTCCATAGCTTCCAATAGATCGTAACATATTGACTCATGACGAACTCTTAACAACATTAAATGGAATCCCATTTTCATAGATGAATCTGACGATATTCAAACAAACTTTATTCCTTAGTTCTTTTGTAGCAGTAGGAGGCTGAAGATCCTGAGTGTTTATGTTATACTCGTCATCAATATTCATCATAAATCTATTCATGACGGACTCTTAACAATTTTAAATGGAATCCCATTTTCATAGATGAATCTGGCGATATCCAAACAAACTTTATTCCTTAGTTCTTTTGTAGCAGTAGGAGGCTGAAGATCCTGAGTGTTTATGTTATACTCGTCATCAATATTCATCATAAATCTATTCATGAGACCCCGAGTGCCTCGGTTAGAAGAAACTAGATGGCTTCCACTACTAGAACCTTCATGCTGTGATCCATAATAAGAAGAGTTTCTTATCATTTCTTATATATTTCTTTGTGTGACCTCCTTTGTGGTGACAATTTTCTTTCAATAATATGTACATTCCTTTTTAACCTCATTAGGTACTTTTGCACATGGTCCCACATTGACATGAGTGCAGGCTAGATGATCCTTCAACCTTTTGGCGCTACCAGTTATGCGTTTCTCACAGAAATTACATTTCTTGTAAACATATCCCTTCTTTGCACCTTCTCCTGACACTTCAACTTGAGTTCCATATTTTCATGCAGGATC